TAATCTCATCCTATTCGAATGATTGTTCAATTCCTCAGTACACTAAATTCATCCATAACTTTTTAAAAACTTGAGCCAAATAATTTTGTAAGTTTCAATTAGCATCTGCTATTTGAAAAAACGGATGTGGAATTCTATTTGTTATTGTAATATAAATGCCAATTAATAAGAATATTACATCTCTTATGTGCAAACCTAAAAGCCAAATATGATGATCAAATAAATCGGTTTTATTAAAGTTTATAAGTTCTGATATTTAGATAAGATAGTATTTAATATTCAAATTCCTCATTTTAAATCATTGATCTCAACTGAGTTTACTTCGATTCCTAAATTTTCATTTATTATTCTTTTCAAATCTCACATACTTATTTATTCCAAAAATGAACATTAATATTTACTTTTTTGTTAAATCAATCCAATACCTACCTAGTATAAATATTGAGAATTTATTTTAAATGATAAATGATATTCGATTTATTCTTTTCGGCAAACTTAAGTGGAATGTTATGTTCAAATTACTGAAAATAGATGACCGACCAATGTTAGATTGGCTTAGTTAGTTGTAAAACTTGTGTTTTATTTTTTGTTTTTGAGATCTTTTTCATTTTATTTGTATAAATTATAGACATTTATAAGCAATTATTTCTCTAATCCTCATTGTCTTTGATCCTTTTGAGTTGATGACTAGGGAATGGAAATCTGATTTTATATAAATATTATTATCCGTTCTTCTTTTTTAGGAAGAAATTTTATTGAAGATATTTATTTTAAGAATTAAAGTGATTTTAATTCAAATTACCAGCCCTATAAATTTTCTATACTCTCTTGAAAAAACTTTAATATTTATAAATTTCTTGCATAAGGTGAGCTCAATACTGAAGCATATTGTTATAGTTTAATTCAATTCCTTATATAATAGAATATGAAATGTGATATTATTGCTAATAACTGGATTGGTGGATTATCAACTTGGTAACCATCCAGTAAGTTTTNTTATTTTTTTTTTTTTTTCAATATTTAAGATATATTTCAATATATTGTCTTACCAAAAATCACCATTTTTTTTAACGTTTATAAAAATAATTATTCTCATTCTTTTGGAATATTTCAATTTTTATTTTATTTAGATGGAACTTCTTGGATATTTGTTTATTAGAGGCTTTAATTGCGAATTTACTTTTCTATTACTCAAATTATTATTCTTCTTCAATTGTTTATTAAATATTGATTTAATTCATAAGAACAAACTATTAAGAAGCCTAATCAGAATATAACTTTATATTTTGAATCAAAAATTCAATAATTATTTTAATCCCTCTGTAAATCACACCTTAAATTATTTTTCAATTAGTATTTTTGAAATAAAACGCCTTCATTTGCACAAGATTTGTTTTTATACTAATAGTTGTTAAATTCGATACTTAATATTTTTTCAGTTTTGCTGATCATTCTCAGTTTGCGTCAAAAAAAAAGATATGTTCTTTTGAAGATGGAAATTTCTCTTAATCATGTCCTATTCAATTTTCTCAGATTCCATCTTCTTTTTTGTTAATCTTTCGTAAAATTAATTAGTTTTGATTTGCCAAAAACACCCTTCTTTCAGCATTTTAGGAATTTTTCTTATTTTGAAATCAAATTTTACTTCTATACTCACTCTCGTTAAATCTTTAAAATCAGGTTGAATTATAACATGTATACATAAATGGCTAACGTCCAAAATGATTAGTTCTATTTTAAACTTAGAAAACGGAGATATTTGAATAATTCCAGATGGTGTCCACACTTTTTAAAGATAAATAGGAAAAGCCAATATTAAGAGTATAACTGGCCATATATTTACTTTCATCCCTGCACAATCTAAATTTTTTTTAATTTATTAAATATTCTAATCATTATTTTAACTCGCATCTAGGAAATAATTTTACTTCTACAAATGTAACAAAAGGAATGCTTATAATTGAATAATTTAGCACCTTCAAAATGTTTGATTTTATATAATATTTACTTTTTTGTTAAATCAATCCAATACCTACCTAGTATAAATATTGAGAATTTATTTTAAATGATAAATGATATTCGATTTATTCTTTTCGGCAAACTTAAGTGGAATGTTATGTTCAAATTACTGAAAATAGATGACCGACCAATGTTAGATTGGCTTAGTTAGTTGTAAAACTTGTGTTTTATTTTTTGTTTTTGAGATCTTTTTCATTTTATTTGTATAAATTATAGACATTTATAAGCAATTATTTCTCTAATCCTCATTGTCTTTGATCCTTTTGAGTTGATGACTAGGGAATGGAAATCTGATTTTATATAAATATTATTATCCGTTCTTCTTTTTTAGGAAGAAATTTTATTGAAGATATTTATTTTAAGAATTAAAGTGATTTTAATTCAAATTACCAGCCCTATAAATTTTCTATACTCTCTTGAAAAAACTTTAATATTTATAAATTTCTTGCATAAGGTGAGCTCAATACTGAAGCATATTGTTATAGTTTAATTCAATTCCTTATATAATAGAATATGAAATGTGATATTATTGCTAATAACTGGATTGGTGGATTATCAACTTGGTAACCATCCAGTAAGTTTTGTACAGCTATTGATGATAATTGTTGTTCAGCATTAATTCTGTTCCTAGCAGATGCTCCAATATTCCTCAAAATATTAAAACAGGCCTTTAAATTTCTCTTTAATTAACAGTTCCTTCCTCTCATCTCCCATTGTTAAAATAACTTATAAGGTTAAATTTTTAAGATTTTTCTTTGAACGGCTATTAAAGAAAAATGAGAATTATTAATTATCGAAACCTTGAGCCATTTTAATCATCTTGAACTTTCCATGAAATAATTCAAGTTATATAATAGTTTAATAATACCTGGAATTAATATAGAATATCATATCTAAAAAAATATAGAACACCCATCAAAACCCTGGGTTTTTGGTTTTGGTTGTTTAAATAAAAAGCAAAAATTATCTCAAACAATTTTTTTCAAATTGAAAATATGAATGAGTGCAAAATCTCAATAATGAGAACCAATAAATCATTTATTATAATATTTTTAAGTGAAACAAAGTTGTTTTGATTTTATTTCATGAATAGAATGAATATTCACCAAAAATTTAAATTAATTGAAAATAATAATAATACAAATTTTTTGTTATAGAAGTGGAATAATCAGTATTGATAAAGAAAAAAATATTTCTAAACTTAAAAGAAATCGTAAATGTAGCTAACATGTAACTGAAGAAACTAATAATAGGTTTGTGTAAATATTACGAAGATAAAAAGTAAATGAGGTGTTTGATATATTATCTGTACTAATCCATTTTCGTAGACCATTATCTAATATTTTGTTATTTATCATTCAAAATACTCAAATATTATTCATTATCAGTGGTTTGATTCAGAACTTCTTTATTGATTAATTTTCTAAATCTTGATTTGACTACGCAAGGTCTATGGGATTGACTCTTGATATAATTAATAGTTTTTGATATCAGAAGAGAAAAATTGTGTATAGTCTGAGTTCTTTGGAAAAGAATCTATTGTATACCTATATTACAACACCAGTTATGACCACCTCCTTCATAATCCTGCCACTTTAAGAGCAGCCGTATGAAATTTTCCTCTTTTCTTGCAAATCTTCTATCCTTCAGCTGCATCTCTATCACTTAATATTTGAAATGTAAAATTTAATTCGAACAGTTTTTTAATTTGAAAACTAGATCTGAATTATTTAAATTAGGATTCATAAACTCTTTAGGTAATTGTTATTTAATTGTTTCTTAAAATAAGAGAATTTAGTAATTGTTCTAATTCTGTACGATGAAATATTCTATAACCAGCAAGATGCCAATTCTAACATCATGGACTCAGGGAGGATTACACTACATTGAAAATAATTTCATTATCATGGCTGCCAACCCAACTACCAGACCAAGCAATTGTTTTTTCACTTCAAAAAAATCAAATAAGAAGTAACTTTTCTTTATTTTCTTGATCTTAACATAGCACAGATAGACTAAACTCTTTTTCAAAATTGGAATTTAAAAATGTATACCTGTGTGATAGAGCGCTCTAAAACTCATTGATATATGATTTGGCCAACCATTTCCTTGAAATCTAAATTATATACAAGGAATATTTTACCTTATTGCTTATTCATAACTATATATCTAGTTACCTATCTTTTTTAAATTTAAGCAATTAAGGCAACAAAACTTATTTGTTTTTTTTCTATTATATAATGCAATGATAATTATTATTATTCTTTTTTGGAGTAATATTTTCATAAGTCTACAAATCTTTTAAGCATGCGTCGAAAAGAATGGTAATTGACACATTTGACTTTATTTTGAACTCATTATGATATTTGGCAAAATATTTCCAATCTAAAATATAAAAAGTATGAATACAGCTTGTAAAACCGATATCAGTTTGCCTCTTTGATCATCTTAAACCAAATATTAATCAATAATAGTTGAAGAAGAAATCATTTCTATTTTAGCTAATATGACGTATAAGAAGTCAGTACTATCTTGAAATGAATATCCATGAGACCAAATCAAAACTGGATGGTAGACTTATTTGAGAATATTTTAATAATGAAAAGTATAAATGATATTGAAGCGAATAACTATTACTTCATGAATAAATCAAGATTATAGATAACATCTTTAGTTACTTACAAGTCACGAAAGAGTGACAATTAAAACAACCTGTAAATGTAAACAAATGCTTGCTGTAACAAATTGTAATTAAACATAAAAGTATTAGCAGTGACAGAGACAGATTCTTAAATACATCTCTGATTTCTGTGATTAGTTTATAGCAGAAGTGCATTAAAACGTAAGATTTATATTCTTGAGCACCATTTGTATATGATGATGTGAAAATATTATGCAGTCACAGCAAATATCCAAAGAATCAGACCTAGAAAATGATTCCTTATGAAAATTATAAACAGGCATTGTTACTGAAACATATTAGATGAACCTAATCTTCAAATTGAGGATACTGATTGCCCTTGATTGACATTTTGACTAAAATATGATAATATAATTCTATGCGTGCATTCAAAGAAGAAGGGGGGTTATAGAATTTGAAGTTAACTCCGAAGATTAAATTGTTGAAACTATTGCATTAAAGTTTAATCAAGTATTGTACTCTTTTGATGAAAGAATAATATTACGATAGTAGTAATCAGATTGAACTTATCAGCGATTAATTATTCAAAAAAAGGGTAAAATACACTACCAAACAGGGAAAGGTTGCGTTAAAGATCAAATTATGGAAGTGGAATTTAAGTCGTCTGTGTGACCAATAGTAAGGGGAGTGGCACATCATATGATGATAACACCTGTGCAAATGCTTCGGTTGAAAATCAATACTATTTAATGTTGAAAGAATAAATTTTGGCCTTACACTCCCATTACCTTTATGGCCTCATGCACTGCTACATTCGGCTTGACTCCTGGATGATAAGATAAATAAGCTCTTTTCCTTTAAAAACAAATAAAACCAAAATAATGTGTATTTTATATAAATAGAGAGACAATAAATGTGGAAGTTGCTTTTCAGATAGAAGGTAAAGGTAAAACTTATTACTTACCTTATTTTACAATTTAATCTAGTAATTACAAGTCTTGGATATAATGGAATAAAATACGTATTGATATTGATCTTCTGGCAACTTAAGATAAAAGATAACGTTGTGAATTTTTGGATTTGGATAATTATCATTTGAATATTATAGAAAACATGTGTAAAATAAAGAAATGTGAAAGTTCGCCAAATATATATCCGAAGAAAAATGTGCAGTCATTATTTTACAAAGACATCAATATCCAAAGAATTTTTTTGAAAACAATATGATCAGTCATATTTCAAATAAGTAATATATTAACCAAATGTTAAGAATAATCATTTGAATGAGACATTTTCAAAGTTTCATTCTAGTATTCAGTAAGACTCAGTTTAGTAAGATATTATTTATCATGCTGTCTAATATCAAGTCCTTTGTGAAATTAAATTCGTCTTTCTCATTTATGAATACTCAAGTGATTATAATCTAGTTTCTATCTTCTCGATTATTAATTTATCATTTTAATTATGAAAACCAAAAATACCAAGTCCACCCGCAATTTTAAAGAATATTTAAGTAACAGCAAAAAAGTGTTTTTAGATATATTTGCAAGCCAGCAAAATTTTATAACATCTCCTTTTCATTTCAAATCCCAAAATTACATTTATTGTGTTTCCAATTCCCATCTTTGGAAATAACAAAAAATTTTAGCTAATTGATTTCAGAAAAATCTTAGTCCCATATGTCTGTCATTACAATAATCGAAATTCTTTCAAATTTTATCAGCTAAAATTCTATAATATTTCGACATCATATTTTAAGCAAATTTTTACTTATTATTTACTGAGTTGGAAAAAGTGTAGTAATAAAGATGCTTTTAGGATTAAATTATGCATGAAATTCTCTAAAATCATTTTAAATAACTAATTATTAATATTAACTGTTATAATATTATAAATATTAATTTCTGCTTCTATAAATTTAAACTGCTGCTAAATTAAAAAAAATCATCATCACTAGACAATTCTTAATTGAATTGATGAATCCAGAAACATAAACACAATATTCAAATATCAAAAATTTTTTGAGATAAATATATATCACTCAAGGTTATCTGATACTGAAAGAAAATAAAATTAAATATATAGAACAAAAGTAGAAAGCATTATAAATTAAGGTAGAGTAGAGGAAAATAAATGAATAGGAAGAAGTTGAAAGAAAAAGGCCAAATCAAAGGAGTGTATACAAAAATTATATTAAATTTAAACTAATTCAGGATTCATAATTCTAAAAGATTTTTGGAAAGAATTATTAATAATTATAACATATGATATATTTTACTTGGCTTTATATTATAAAATCAGTGTTGGGTTAACTAACCTATGATTCTGGATATTTTCCTGGAATTAGTTCATCATGTGCGAATGGACGTATAGAAACTTAGACTATTTCATTTCATGGGATGTTTGATAATATTCCTTAAGTTATATTGGAACTTTAACACCTTGATATGTATCAGGGAGCAGATTTTAGAATTCAGACTCAAAATATTAAAAAGAACAGTAAAAACTTTATATATATATACTCTAGATTTTGAATTGCGTATTGAATGTTTAACAAGTACTACCTTATGGACCATTAAGTATAATTGGTATGCAATCGATGACAGCAGAATATAAGTTATAAATAATTTTAATATGGTGAATGTAGATGATAAGACTTTTGATCACTTCAATCCAAATGCTAATTATGGAATATTATCTTTTATAAGTATGGGAGTGACAGGAAACGTTGATTTTAAATTATCAGTAATAATCAAATAATATATAGATAACTTCAATTACTACAACTTAGGTATCAGTGGGCATCACTAAAGTGGCTGGAAAATTTGCTAATTTAAACCAAATTGGATATTAAATTATATTAGGGATTTAAGAAGCATTCTAAGACACATTAATACTCAAGCATACAAGTGATTATGATAGTGGAACTCTAACTGGGCTCTCAAATAGATGGTTATTTTTAGCTTATAATGGAATACAATTAAGTACAAGTTTCAGACAAAAATGTGTTCGTACATCAGTTCCTTTATCTTACACAGTTGAGACATGTATAGTTTCTCAAATATTTAGGGTATGGAACCTACGTTGTGAATTATCACCTAAGTAGTTGGGTAGCTTATCATTTTACAACTGAATTTAAGGCCTTTTGGTGTCTAACTTTAAGAATATCTTAATCTCTTGACATGGAAGTATCATAAAAACCTTCTATATATGTTGAAATCAGTGAATTAAATTAATCATACTTATCGTCAACATAATTATTACTTGAGAAAACAGTTCACCTTTAAGTTTCAAAATTTACATGAAATGCGTTAAAACAAAGACAATTGTTAGTCAATTTCTAAAATGTTAGAGTTGTTCAACCAGTAACAAATATTACTCATTCTCACATTATTGTCATGGTTAAATTGATGCAGTTACTTATTTTCCGAAATTTTAATTGATTGAGTCTTCCTATAAAGAATTAAACATTAATTTTTTAGTTGACAGAATAACAATTACATAAACCTTATTCAATTAGATTCAATCTATAGAAACACTAATAGAAATAAAATTTAAAGTTTGATTAGTAATATTAGAAATATATATTTAATTATTATTAGTTAATTTAATTATAATTTAGGAATAAATACTTTTAAAAATTCTATAAATTTCTAAGACATACTTAAATAATTATTAAATCTAGCAGGTTATTATTATTTTAAATTAATAAAAGCAATTATATTTTAAATTTATGAGTATTTCGAACAATTTTAATAATCTCTAACCACATTATAGTATTTAAACTATCAAGTCCAAATTGCAATGTAAAATCTTAATTTGTTCAAATTATAAATTCTACGATAAAATGAGAACAAACATTTTTAAACTTCCTATGTTGTGTCGAATTTTAAAAAATAAAAAAACAATTGCACAATCACATTTACTACGCAATGGGAGTTGGTTGGCTCAAAATTTGTAAAAAATAAGGAAGTAAAACAATGAACATAATAATTCATAGATGCATCTCCATAATAATAGAAATTAGAACGGTATTTCATTTTATTTTCAATTGTTATTTTAGGGTTATCAACCAAATGATAAAATATAACTTTTCCATACTTTAGGCAGTGGGTAATACCTCTATTTTTTTTCGTAGAGTTTTGCCTATTAATAAAGACTTTGAGCTACATATCTTTTGAGACAGAAAGTATTCATATTGTATAAGGAGCTTCTTTGGGTTTTTAGATTTACTTATCTCATATTTTAAATAACACAAATTCCCATTCTATTAAAATGTGTTGAAGCCTCTAAAATATTTTCCAGTCTTAAAATAATTTTTAAATATTATTGAATTTGAATTTTCTAAAATTCTTTATAAATGCTATAGTTTAAAACTAATGTTAGATTATCCTTATTTTATTTTTTCATTATCTTTATTTATTTTCATAGGTTTACTTTTCTAGCTCTAAATTTATCCTCATAAATATTCTTGGCGAGGTAGAAAAATTCTTGAGTCTAACATGTCTGAATGATGGCTATTAAATTCATTATAATTAGAAACATTACTCATTATTCCTTGAATACCATAGTAGAATTTCTTGTAGCCACCATTTAATTTAAGTTTATTTGTATACTGTTTATCATAAGAAGCGTTATTTAAAACTACATTACGGTTCTTTATTGCACTATTTATTTTAAAAGCCTTAAAGTTATGGATGAGTTAAAATCATTAATTAAAAATGAATATTTAATTCTAAATACATCTAAAAAACTAACTATTATTTTTATATTTATTAGAGATTTAATCTTTTAATTGTTGTTCTACCTTAATCATTGTTAATTTACTCCCAACAAATATTTCATTATCTTTTTATATATTTAAATTGCAATCTGGGTTAGATAAAAGTCAAAGAGACCCTAAGTGTCCTATTGAACATAATAATAATGGAATGATGGTGAAAAAAAACCTAGAGAATATATATATATAAATTTCAATTACAAACATTAAGAACAATAGATATAAAAAGTAAACATTCATTATTGATATTCTTTATCTGCCTTTATAAGGTTTATTAATATGCTGCTTTTCACTAGAGGTAGCTGATTGCCCTGAAGTAAAAGAATAGATTATTTTGTTTTGTTTATTGAAATGAAAATCATTATCTCGCTCAGAAGCATTATATAAAATATGGAATATGAAAAAATTCTTGAAAGTAACAAATAGATGTTATCGAAGTTCAATCCCCTATGCAGTAGAACTTTGGTTTGATGTTTTAACCTAGAAATTTTGATGATTATGTGGTTGTGTTGTTAATAATTTGCTTTGTATTTTATTCTATATTCATCAAGAATTGTGCTATATACAAATTTATGTGAGTTGTCAATATTATAATTTTAGTCAACATCTTATCTTTATTAAATTTCGATTTTCTTTCTTATAAAATATACAATGTACTTTTGGGTTTAGAGTCTAAAACATATAATAAAATAATATAAATTCAGCTTTATTTAAAAAAAGAAAAATGAAGTGCGATTAAGAGTAGGTTGAAGAGGTGTATTAGGTTTTGGCTTTGTCTAAAAATGTTGATGAAGTAATCTTCCCTCTCCTAATTAAAATGTTGAAAAGATAAAAAATATTTGACTGTCAAGAATTTCTTTCATAAGTTCAAAATCAATGGTAAGTAGAAAGAGAAGGTTAAGACTTAGAAAATTCATCTCATCTTGATGAAGAATAGTTGCTCAATGCTGAAAAGAAAGACATGATAAGAGCAATAGATGTTCTCAAAACAATTAAGAATCATTAATTTAATAAACAAGATTACTCCATAGAAGATTATGAAGAAATTAAAAAGGAGTTGATCATAAAAATATCGTGGGATAATAAAATTATAGAATTTCTAAAATTTTTAGTTCATCTTACTGCATTTGATGAGAAATACATTTAGTGTGGATCAAATTCTCTTCATATGTTAATTTAGATGAAAGTTAATATAAAAACACAATCTTTTGAAAATATTCGAATTAGAGATACTTCACTGGTAGGAGCAAATTTAGCTAGATGTGACTTAAGTGGATCTGAATTTGACAATGTCATTATTAGTGGAATGAATTTAAATTAAGCAACATTATTTAATTGTAAATGGAAGAACTTAAAAATAAATGAGTTGATGCAATTGAATGGTCTTGGTGGTTAAGTTAATTAAGTATGCTTTACTCAGAATGGTCATTAATTAGCATCTAGTAGAGAAGGCAATTCATTTCACTTGTGGAATGTTAAAACAGGAAAAATACAGTGTGTATTACAGGGACATGAGGAAATAAAATCAGTTTGCTTCTCAAATAATGATACTACATTAGCCTTTTGCAATGATAAATTTGTGTATTTATGGAACCTTAAAACTAGGAAATAAATGTTGAAAATAATTGGTCATACTCGTTAGGTTAGAACAGTCTGTTTTTCTCATGATGGTGCTACATTAGCATCTGGTAGTGAAGATAGGTCTATCTGTCTATGGGATGTTAAGACAGGATAGTAACAAGCCAAATTAGAGGGTCATAAAAGTTGTATTTCTTTAGTCCGTTTTTCTCCCAATGATAACACAATAGTATCTGGTAGTTATGACAACTCTATTCGTTTATGGGATGTTTAGACAAAATAGTAAACGGGCAAATTAGATGTTCTAATTTATTCATTTCGATCACTCTGCTTCTCTCCTGATTGTAATACAATAGCATTTAGTAGTTGGGACAACTCTATCCATCTATGGGATGTTAAAATAGGATAATTCAAAGACAAATTAGATGGTCATTAAAATTAAGTTCTATCAGTCTGTTTCTCTCCTGATGGTACTACATTAGCCTCAGGTAGTAAAGATAACTCTATCCGCTTATGGGATCTTAAGACAAGATAATAAGTAGTTAAACTAGATAGTAATTAAGAATCAGTTTTATCATTCTGTTTCTCACCTGATGGTACTACTTTAGCATCGGGTAGTTTAGATGGCTCTATCCGTTTATGGGATACTAAGACAAGATAATATTAACCTAAATTAGATGGACATACAGTTTGTTTCTCCCCTGATAATACTACATTAGCATCGGGCAGTTAAGATGGCTCTATCTGTTTATGGGATGCTGAAAGAGGATAATAAAAAATCAAATTGGATGGTCATACTGGCACTGTATGGTCAGTCTGTTTCTCTCCTGATAATACTACATTAGCATCAGGTAGTTGGGATGGCTCTATTTTTTTATGGAATGTTAGGACAGGATAATAAAAAGTCAAATTAGAGGGCCATACAAGTATTGTTTATTCAGTTTGTTTCTCTTCTGATGGCACTGCATTAGCATCTGGAAGTCATGATCAATCAATCTGTTTATGGGATGTTCAGACAGGATAAAAAGTCTAATTAGATGGTCATTAACAATCAGTGTTATCAGTCAATTTCTCCCCTGATGGTACTACATTAGCATCTGGTAGTAATGACAACTCGATCTATTTGTGGGATGTAAAATCAGGATAATAAAAAGCTAAATTAGATGGTCATACTAGCACTGTCTATTCAGTTTGTTTCTCTTCTGATGGAACTACTTTAGCATCTGGTAGTTTAGATAAGTCTATCCAATTATGGGATATTTAGACAAGATAATAAAAAGCCTAATTTGATGGTCACACTGATTATGTTCGATCAGTCATGTTCTCCCCTGATGGTACTACATTAGCATCTGGTAGTTATGATAAGTCTATACGATTATGGGATGTTGAAACAGGAAAATAAAAAGCCAAATTAGATGGTCATACTAGAACTGTATGGTCAGTCTGTTACTCACCTGATAATACTACAGTAGCATCTTGTAGCGATGATAATTCTATTCGTTTATGGGATGTTAAGGTAGGACATTATCTTACACCTTATGAAAATCGTTATAAAGATATATTAACATAATTTACACCCCTTATATTGAAAAATCATATGCATCCAGAAAATAGTATATATTTTCACTAATATTTAGTTCTCTGTAATATCACTATTTTAAGACTTTCTTAAGGAAATTATTTTCAAACCTAAGGAGCATTAATTTTGAAAGGACAATTCGTTAATTCTTAAGGCATAGATTTAAGATATTTATTTAAATAAAAAGGCAGTTTGATTTTAGAATGATAAATCGCAATATAAAAGCGATAAAATTGATTATTATTGCTATGTGTGTGTTATGCTACAATAATCAACTAAAAAATCTGAGATTTCTTGTTCTAAAGTAAAATGTAACTAGTTACAAATAAAGTCATGATAGACTTTAAAATAAATAGATAAAATCAATGTCATTGAGTCCTCTGACAATAATTTCCATTAAGTGCTTCAAGCAGCTCTGGAAAATTTTGCATTTCTATAGATTTTCAATTTACTTATGCTCGAATAATTTTTCTCAAAATCAGCCAATGCAAAATATCGATTCATTTATTTTTGTATCCCATTCATTACACTATTTTTTGAAAAGTTATTTCTATCCTAAAAACTTACAAAAATGATATTAACTTCAAATAACATCATATTCAAAACTCTATTTAAATCATTTTTCAATTTTGGGTATTGATGATAAATTATTCTGTTTTAAAGATCTATTTTGTTTACAAATTTTAAATTAGTTCCTATTCCACTTTATTAGAATTGTTAAATAAACATTATAGAAGAGAAGATTTTTGTTATTTTTACATAAGTATTAGTATCAGTTTATTCAAAACATAAATGTTAAATTACAAATTACTATTGAAATTAAATCTTTTTGATGTCATGACAAAATAAGTTAAAATCATGAAATTTGTATAATAAATATTTCAAAAAAGAATTTATGATTAATGAAAAAAAAATATGAATCAGAAGTCTTATTTTAAGGAATTTACATTTTTTTTCATTTGAAATTGTAGCAAATTTCAAGTTACATTCAATTTTGAAATTATTAGAGAATTTCTAGGCAATCTTCAGTTTCTTTTTTTTGAAAACCTAAATGAGACATGGAAGATTGATTCATCATGTTCTTTGGATTAAGAATGAGTCTTCATTCTCATTACTTTTAACACCTCATTTTGCTTTTTTTTTAAAATATTGAATTCTTAAACTTTAAAAAAATTTTAGATGATCATTTTCTTAAATTAGAATTATAAACAATAAATGGGATTACATCTGATTTAATATTAGCTGATTGATTAATAGATTAAATTTAATAAAGATTAATATCAAAAAGGTTAATTTGTTTTATATTATTATAGGTATCTCTTTAACATTAGAAATGAATAAAATGAAGCGATTCAACTCTTTGATAAGTTATTCTGAACAGAACCTTATAAAGTAGAAATTATGTATTAAAAATGTTAATATATATTATTATTCATGCGAACTCATTATTGAACTGATTGGATGAATAAATTCATAAGTTAAATGGATAAGTAAGAAGTTGCTTTATAGATGTCCACAGATATAATTGCAATTAGCTCAGGGCTTGGGTTCTGGTTTGGGTTTGGGTTTGGGTTTGGGGTTGGGGTTGGGGTTGGGGTTTGGGGTTGGGGTTGGGTTTGGGGTTGGGGTTGGGGTTGGG